TCAAGTCACATTACAAAGCGTTTTTCAGAAAAAGATGGCACACTGATTGTGAAACTAGGAGTGATTGTTTGGGCTTTTCTGTTCATCTGTGGCTTTGTCCTGAGAGAACCAGTGTGTGGCTATTACCCTTTTGCCCTACTGGAGGCCAATCCATGTCCTTGTCAAAGATTAACTGCCTTTGTTTGGGAATGGAGTCACTGTTGTTCCCTTTTTTTTCTCCTAATATGAGGCCTACGACATGTCTATTTCTATAATTTGAGCCGTTTATTGTTGTAGGAATAAGCTTTATTGTATGACCTATTAAGTAGATAGTTTGGATCATCAATGTAAATCCGAATTTGACCCACAAAATAGGTATAGATTAGTATGAAGAGATGAAGATATGGTGGGAGCTTATTCCCATTTTGTAAGGTTCATGGACTAGCTCATGCATGTAAAAAATCATATCATTGAGTATTGACAATCACATGATCAGATCATATTGGTCTTTAAAAAACAGACAGTTTATTTTCCAAATCATATTAGACAAATATTTTTTTTCAAGATAAATATGATTCAATTATGAGATTATCGATATCTAATCAACCTAATTTTTGCATGCGAATAATTTATTTGATTGGTTTTAAAAAATGAACGGTTCAGATTTAAGACACAGAAGTTGTGTGCCAAAAGGTAACCATTTTAAAGAGTTAAACTATGAATAGAATCTTATATTTTGTAAACTTCATTAAAATTTGAGAGGAAAAATCAATAAGATATTTGAGTCCACATTCTTCAAAATAGATTTTATGAGAATATGATAAACAACTTGAACAATTGAGCTAGGTTCGAATTAAGGGTTTAAGGAGGACTTCGTGTATAAAAAATAAAAAAAGTAACTAATTTTTATTTTTGTTTTTTACTTTTTCTTTTCTTTCATTAATTTCCTCAAATCTTGATTCAAACACTACCTTACTAGCACAAATGACAACTCTTTTTCTTTTTGAGTGTGTTTAAAAGGAAATAAAAATAAGACTGTTATAGCTCACAAGATGCATGTCATTAATTTTATTTTTTTTACATCTTACATAAATGCAGGACCAATATATCTAAAAAATAGTAAAAATAACGAGATATGTTTTGAATATAGTAAATCCTATAAAGGTGAAAAAAAATGGGTAATATTCATCTAGTGACATATATCATTTTCCGAAGCAAAAATGACTGTTTGTGAGATGATGGTTTTGTCCCCTCTCTCCACACCAAAACTCCTTTTTAATTTTTTTTTTTCTTCTTCTCCTTTATGGGAATTATCATTGTGGGTTGGATTCTTGTTTCACCAAAAAAAAAAAAAAAAAAAAAGACAAAAAAAAGGCAAAGCTAAACAGGAAATTATTTTATGGCAATGTTCTCTATGTTGTTTTGTTTTCTTATCAATGAAATGATGTTGGGGTTGTTGTGTAGGTCACTGTTAATGCACAACAGCTGCTTTTATGATGTAATTCAATGCTTGGGTTGAAGAAGTCCACACTGATGGACTGGTGGGCCATTTGCGGGCTTTCTGGATTGATCTTGATAGGGAGTTTTCATCATAGACATATCTAATCCATCTCGCCATCCAAAACAAGAAGTTCTGACCTTAGAGGGATAATATCAACGTCAATTTGATGCATCTGTTATGGTTATTTCACATCCTTCCTTTCTTTTTGTATGATTTTGTTTACTATAACTGTTAGATGTTTGGATTGAACTATTTTCAGTGAATCAAATGTTTGGTTAGGCAGACTTAATAAAGATAAATGTTCAAAACACTATTTTACCTTTATAATTTATAATTTTTATTTAATATATAATTTTAAATTTGTAATCTATAATTTATAATTTAACAACACTAAATTTTTTTAATTTATAATGCCATAATTTTTAATTTATTATTTTCAATTAAATTAAATTTATAATTTATATTTTTTATTTAATATATAATTTTAAATTAACAACACTAAAAAAATAATTTATAAATGTTGAAAAGACTATTTTACCCTTTTTCAATTGTTTATTAGCATGAGAGTAAAATGGACATTTCACACATTAATCTCATGGAATACCAATTCTATAGAAATAATTCCACCCCTCTCCCTAGGATACAATAATCCCTCATATGAGGGACTAATAGTCCGGAGGAATTATTAATCCGGAGCAAAAAAATTAAACCAAACAATTGATTATTAATCTGAATGGACTAATAGTCCAATCCCATGCAATAATCTCTCAAAACAAAGACACTTTGAATGGATTGTTGAGAGGACATTTGATTGGGACTATGTCAATCCATGTCCAAATGTAAGTTTATAACTTTTTAATTTTGTTTATAAAAATTTCAAAAATATTTATACGTTGTATCTTCACACATAACGCTATTAGCCAATTACGAAAGCAAAGTTATGCTTGTAATCAATTAATTAAAGTATATTTATTTTTGAATTTAACATAAAATTTTATTTTAATTTTTATATAACAAATGAAAATAATACTAATTTTTTTAATGTATCTTATATATTGTTTGCAGGATTTGTAATTTTCAGTCTCATGTCAATGCCAAATTGAGATGTTTTATGAATTCATAATGTATAGTTTTTTTTTTTTGGGTGAAAATTAGGAAATATTGTATATTTAATTTTTTTTTGGTATATATTATGTTGTACATATTTATTTATGAATTATATTAAAAGTAAATATTATATTGCACATAGTTAAAAATATTTAACTTGCATTACATGAGATTCATAATACATATGCATATTATTATAAAAAAAATATAAATTACTTAATATAATTTTATTTTTTAATTTGCACATGCATCGTGTGTGCTTTGGCCGCTAGTATATATTATACTAGCGAGAAATTTTATGATACACACCCTTTTTTAGGTGTGTACACATGACCCTATACTAACAATGAATGTAAAACCGGTGCAATTGCAATTTTATAGTTAAATTTTGGGTGGTTTAATGATTGAGGGACGGTTTGATGAATGAGAAAAATTATTTGATAGTGAATAAATGTAGCATTTACCGAATGTAAAAATCATTCTTGAAAAAAAGGAATGTGATAGGATTCACACCAAATGAGCTGTTTATTTTGTATAATAGAATAGATATATTTTATTCACATTTTACCTAACTTTTCCCTTTCCCTTTCCAAATCCCTCTTCAAATCCTCCAACCAAACACAGTGTGTGTCGATTTCTTACCCTATACAACATACCATGTAGATAATGACACATAATATTTTATGAGTATTTAATAATTTTTCCCATATCAACTTGTTAAACTAGTATTCGAGATTACTAAAATTATTGTCCGCAAGAGGCAGTGTAGGTATTATTTTCAGATCATGCATATTGACTATGCAACCTCCCCCTTCTTTTTTTTTTTCTTTTTTTTCTAATCCTAAAATATAAACTTTTATCTTCTTTTCTTTTGACAGACAAAGATCAAAATCTATACCAGGCACATCATGACAGCCATTCTGAACAATTAATATATGCCTGAATTTGGTGGTACTCAATTTAGCCCAAATTTGGACCCTGTAAGTATCCAAGTCAGTGTGAAAATTATTCACCATAACCACATAATTTCTTAGGCCCCCGTTTGGTCGCTGGGCACCAGTTTAAATTTCATTCAAAGTGCTTCTCAAAAGGCCTTTTCAGAAAATAGCCTAGGTTACAAAATGTCCTATACCATGAATTCTGTTTCATTCAACCTCCCAAGTTGTAAACTAGACCACCCTTTCCAAGTCTGGTCAGGCTTTTAAAAATCTCAAAGTCCATCTCAGTTTTTCCAGAATCATATTTTATCATACTTCATATAATACCTCACACACACATGTTCTATTGAAAGAGTCAAGATCCACAAGTACATGTCTCCACAGTTCAACCAAAAAAGTACACATCTCCACACTCCCATTATGTAACCCCCATTCAGTTGAAAGGGTCAAGATATGTGTACTTTGGTCACTTAAATATTGAGTTTTGACAAGCTGACTAATGTAAACAATAATCTATATTAATAACTACATCAAACTTGTTACACTTCTAGCCAAATTTTCGCTACAAACTTGCTTTCTATATATTTTCCCCCCAACAATAGTCTGTTCTCTTTTCTTTATCCTAAAACCTTGGGAAAATGTAAAATCTGAGCAAGATATATAAAGGCCATGCACAGTAGTAAGTCCAGTATGCCAAATATATATATATACAACAATGCTAGGTAGCTCAAAATTTTGTGGCTCAAATGGCTCAAATCTGTCAAAACAACGTCATTTTGACAGATTTTGAGTGTAAAACGACGTCGTTTTGACAAATTTGAGCCATTTGAGCCACAAAATTTTGAGTTACCAAACATTTTCCATATGCACATATATATATATATATATCATGAATTAATACATAACAAAAAAAAATTCAGATTATACAAAAAAGTTATGGCTCCTATCAATATTCCCACAACTCATCCGCACTGTTGCAATTCTAACATCAAGATTTATCATTTTTGCATTTGCACCAACTACCATGATGTGAAGAAATATTTTCTTATTTTTAATCCAAGTGCCAGTCTTCTGCCACTAGCTATATGTGACAAGGGAACTTAGGTATTAAAAGATAGATTGTGTTGACAAGTTTGATGGAGTGCATTTCTTATGAGCTTGCGCGGTAAAATAGTTAAGACCTTGTCTGTTGAGCTTGATAAATATGCTATATATGCCAAACTTGCCAAATATGTCTTCCTCATCCGTGTCCTAGTCTTCTAGATTGGATTCACAGTTTGATCAGCGAACTAAACATTCTGGTGCTTCTTTTTGTCAAATATGAAGACTTTTATTTCCTTTTGACGGGTCAGTTAATGAAATTTATCAGAAGCTGAAGTCACTAAAATAGGGTTGAGGAGATAAATGCAAAATGGGACAAAAATGGCTACTGTGATGTTGATAATAAATTCAAAGTCATATGATGCAAGGTTCAATCTTTGTAAATAAGAGTGACTTTCTAAAACGAATTAAAATATCTACAGTACATAAGCAACATTTGGAAAAGTGGTAACAAAACCAAGAAAATCACAGTTTGTATGTCTAGGACTACACTTTGCAACTGTTTCCCTAACAAGAACCAACTATTGAAGTCAAGAACAACAGGGATGATTCAAGATTACTATCTTTTTCACTCTTCTAAGCATGGACTAATAAATAGTTGAACTAATAGTAGTAGAAAAAAACAGTTTTATCTGGGCCAAACAAGGCTTGGAACAGGGAACCGGAACCGGAACATAATCTATGTTGTTACGGGACGTTCATAACTTGAATGGATTGCAACATATCAGAGACAGCAATGACGAGGTCACCTGATTTGATCATTCCCCTGGCCTTGAGCAGAGAGAAGGTTTTATTGAGGTTGCTTTCCATATCATCAGAGAAGCTCAGGCGGAAGGGTATAAGACCCCACTGCAGGTTCAGACGCCTCCGAACAGATGTGGTGGTTGTAAATGCAAAAATTGGGCAATCAGGTCGGCAACGAGAGAGGAGAGATGCCATATGTCCTGTCTTTGTGTAAACAAAGAGTGCGTCCACCTCCAAATTGTTAGCTGAAAATCAAAACCCATATTAGTTATAAAAACGGTCTTCAATTAAGAAAAAGAAAAACGAAGGAATGATATCCCAACTGTAGCAAAGTACTGCAAAACTTACAGCTGTAGTACAAGCACAAAGCCATATTCAACCATAAAATGAGGTCATCTATCAATCTAATACAAAACTCATTTTTTTTAGTGCATCAGAGAGAGAGAGAGAGAGACAACAATTGAAACAAAGGGCTCATGCAATTTCCAGTAACGTTACATGAACTCGGGAACAAGTGTCAGGTGTGGGTTTGTGCTTAAGTGTCAGATTCATCTAATTCCCATGTCAAGGACTCCAAGACAACTAGATTTCATATTTTTTTTATACTTCCTTTATTTTAAGGGTCAAGTGATATGTACAAACTAAAATAGAGCCTTCCATGCATAAAATGGAATGCTTAAGCGTAATTATATAGTAAATTCGACTACTTGTACATTCTTATTGGGAGCTTGTCCAACTAGGCATATCGGACACATATCCCACCAAGTGTCAAGTGTCCGACGCATGTATTTTACAAATTCAGCGGAGTCCATGGAACATAGATCTCCAAAATTTTCATCAAGAAAAGAAAGAACATGATGGCAATAACAATAAGAGAACTTGAACAGCCAAAAATAATTGTAGATAATATTAGCCTTTAAAAGGTAAAACATGTTTAGAGCACATGGAAATATTGTTTGGGCCTTCAAACACCAGAATAATTCCTATAGTAATATCAAGAAATAGAAATCAAATCATGATTAAACCACCCTCTAATGGAACTTGACCCCCCAAAAAATAATCACATACAATCTTATAAGCAATCATTTCAAACATACTAGAATGGCGTTTTAAACTCAGAATTACATATTTTATTACTTTGATAGAATGAAATGTGCTTTATTCTGAAGTCCACTCTGTTATACGGTCTTGGGTAAAACTCACCCCAAAAGCTAACTATTAAGGTGATGGTGCCCTCACACTTATATGCTTAATATTACTTTACTACTCAAGCGATGTGGAACTTAGCTTCACACCCTCCCGCACGCCCAGGATGCTCACTGGGCAGCACCTGCCGCGTGCAGGCTAGGGACACACACCCTACCCATCTCTGAGTACTCCGACTCTGATACCATGTTATACAGACTTGGGTAGAACTCATCCCAAAGGCCAGCTATTAAGGTGATGGTGCCATCACGCTTATATGCTTAATATTACTTTATTACTCAGGCGATGTGGGACTTCGCTTCACACACTCATCTTTGACTTGGAAGTGTCTATTTACACAAGAGTCATGTTTTATATAGAACCTACAGCAAATAGAGGGTGCAATGATGCAATACATTCAGATATGCATTGCATTCCTTTAGGGCTACAATTTGCAGGTTCAATAAGCACCCAAAATATGCAAAACTTCTCAGAAACCGAGAAGAGGTCCCCATTAAGTAACCATGCCCATGCTTTTACTTAATCTTATAAATTAAAAGCATAAAGAAAGCAATAACTTGCAAGTCTTGTATTAAAAAATCATTAGCAGAAAAGGAAAAACTTCTTACCCATGTTGGCAGCAGAATTGCAGATCTCCTCGGAAATACTGTCTGCGAAAGAAGATGTTATATCTTCTAGTTCCATAGCTTCGTGACGTTTCTCTTCTCTCCACCATCTCTCAATTCTCAAACTAACACTTCTCAAAACTGTCAGTGCCTTCTCGGGGAACTGGCCCATGGCTGACTCACCAGAGAGCATTAAAGCATCTGCTCGTTGCCTAACTGCTTCAGAAACATCAGCCACCTCAGCCCTGGTGGGCGTGGGGTATTCAATCATAGATTCAAGCAGTTGAGAGGCAACAATAACAGGCTTATGTAACTGCCTGCACAGGTGAACAATCTTTTGCTGGGCTGATGGGACTTGTTCCAGTGGAATCTGAGCACCCAGATCCCCTCTTGCAACCATAACTCCATCTGATGCTCGAATGATCTCCTCTAAATTCTTCAACGAGTCAATACTCTCTATCTTTGCAATAACAGCAACATCACTGCATCATCATAATAAAATTGTAATTTATGTATTATTGATTGATGTTACAAGATTGATATCATTAGTACAAATGTGAGAGGCTCCTTATATAGGAGATATAGGTGTAGTAGGTGAAGTGGAGGTGGTAGTGGTGTAGGTGAAGTGGAGGTGGTAGTGGTGTAGTGGGTTAGGTTTAGTGGAGTAGGTGAGGTGATAGTGGTGTAGGTGAAGGTAAATTCTAACAAAAATACACATTACCAAGGAAACAAAAACTAACCAACTTGAGTTTGAAGAGAGGAACAAAACAAGAAAATACATAAAAATAAAAAAGGATAGGAGACACTGTATGGTCGTGTCAGACCATTAGTGAAGACACTGAATGGTGGTGTCATAACGTTGTCATCACTGCATCATCATAATAAAATACACATTACCAAGGAAACAAAAAGGAAAAAGAAAACTAATTTAGAACTTGAACATATATGGCAGTTCCAAAAGGAAGATGTATCTTGACTTCTTTACTGTTTTGGAAAAAGGGCACTTATAAGAGTTAATGTATGCAACAAAGGGACAATAATAAGTAACTTTGTTATCTCTCACTATTATATGACCCAACATATTACAACCTGTTTGTGAGTTTTCAAAACCTGTATTATGTTTTTATTATTTAAAATAACTAAAATCTAGTTTGGTAAAAAAATGCAAAAAAAAATGCAAAAAAAAAAAATACACCATCAATTCATATGTGTTTCTCTTTTTTGGGGAAAAAAACTAAGCAATTGAAATGGTCCAGTCTTAATTGAGAGCCCCGTAGCTCAGTTAATCTGAGTATAGAGAGGATGCATGAAATAGATTGCATGTTCATGTTCTTGTAAAGGGCTTCCTCTTTGTACCCAAACAAGGAGGGATAAGAAAAACGAAGAGAACAAAAAGAACCACTATTTTTTTCTTTTTTGTTATCAGCAACAAAGAAGAAATTGTATCAAAGAATGTGCCAAGCTGGCAAACAGATTAGAAACAAGAAAAAGAGTACAAAAGAGGAAAGAGAACAAAAGGAATCACTATGAGTATAATAATGGCTTATGGTGCATAAACATATAAGTAGGATGTTCTTACCCATCACGAGACCGCGCCTTAATATAGCTTTTAAGCTGATTAATCACTTCAGCTGACTTGACAAATGATATTGCAATAAAATCTACGCCCTCAGCGACCCCAAAATCAATGTCTAACCAATCCTGGAGATGCAAAACGCTTGAGAGTGAGCAAATTCATAATTCTAACATTCAAGGAAAATGCGTACACCACAAAGCATTAATCTAGCACAAATGCCATCAATATTACACATGATTCATGAACATAAATGCAATCACACATACACCAACTCACAAAATAACACAAGTCTATTTGTCTTTACAGACACTTATTCAGTAACAGGTCTTGAAACACTTTAAATAGAAGATATTTGAGAGCTTCTATTTACATACCTCCCTTTTTCTCAGTTCACACTATTTTTTCCACTTGAATAACAACTATTGAACAAAAATCTATTGTTCAGTAGTTGATATCAGAACAAAAAAAATGGTGTGAATTGAGAAGTTTTGTGGAGCGCAAATAAAAGTTCCCAAGACATTTGACACGCACTACCAGCCTACCCAGTTAAATCAAGATATGTTCGAATTCCTGACCCCCACAACCCAAATTTTTTAACTGCATTACAGATTTTATGAACAAAAAATTATTTTTGATATTACACAAACATACTGCAGGGACAGAATGAGAAGTTGATTAACAATTGGGCAATTTAGACAACCCTAACCAACTGGTCCTACTCCAACCTATTGCCAACTCTTACAAAATCACCACCTGATGCCTGAACAAAGCTTCAATAGAAAATATTGTCATAGTCAAAATCTCAAAGTTTTCCAAACAGTTATACATAGCCAGAGTTAGTGACACAGATTTATAGCTCCTTGTTTTCTCCTAAAGTTTCTTCCAAAAGTATCTTAACATGTTAAGTCATGCAGGATTGGCAGAGCACTTCAGAGACCGAACTGTGTAATCCTTTGAATTAGAAGATGCCGCATCTCAAACCACAAATTCATGCTTACTACGTAGAAAGTGTTGAGTTTTCAGGAGATAGAATTACAAATTATCACAGTATAAGCTGAACCATTAAATTCCAGTGTGTGCAAGAAAATTTTGTTTCTTAGAAATAATCAAATAGCAATAAAATAATAATGAAATAAAAGAATTACTAGTGCACGTTTCGTTTGGTAACTTGGCTTTTTGAATGGATTTTTAGCTTTTTTATGAGGAGAAAAAAGTTAGTGTGTTCGGAATGATTGTTTTAGTTGAATGTTTTAGTTGAATAGATAGTAGTGAAGAAAAAGGCGATTGATTGATGTGTATGATGTGGCATTTTGACTTTTTTGGCTTTTTTAGCCAAAAAAAAAACACAAACCAAACAGGACCCTTGTATCAACTCTGAAAAAAAAAACAATTATTGGAAAAAGTACAACTATAACTACTGTCTAGTTTAAAATTAATCATTATTTTCGTTTTTATCAATTCTTCCCTCTATCAGTCCTACGGATTCAAAAAACATATCTCCTTTGTTTCATTCATAATCGAACTATATTGCAAAGCTTTAATTCCATCCATAAGAAATTAATGACATAAATGGTCCAAACCTTTGAAACTTTAAGCACCAGTGCTTCACTGGTTATTATAAGCTTCTAAAGGCAAAGCAATATCTTGGAACATGGTTTGAATAACTTAGTTTAACAATGTCGATATGTGGGATGAGGAGGATCTCAAATCATTTTACATTTTCCCTGCAAGCTTACACATGATCAAACTCCAGTTGAAATGATACTAATGACTGAACAATATACACAAACAAAAACTCTACAAATATAAGATCTTGAAATCTCAAATTTCACATATAGAGTTACTAGACCTCATTGTAGTATTAGTTAACAGTCACTCATTTGTATAGCACATTACAGTTAATTCAAGAAATCCTTTGCCAGATATGGAATTTAATAAAATCCCTACACATATTAATACCAAGTTTGAAGCAGCAAACTGAATTTCATAAATAGCAAGTACAGAAACCTTCTTCACAAGATTAATATACTTACTCTCAGCCAGTTATCATCGAAGCATTGGTGTCTTTGTAGAGCCAGTCACTATGTAAATGGTGACATAATAAGAAAGATTATCATTGAGTGAATATTGACAAAAACTACAGTTGCATTTGATTAGTTGAATTCCAGGGCTTGAACCAGAATCCCATAGCCAATTTACCCAATTCTGTTAATTAGTATCACACTCCTCCAAGGACAAGATTCCCCCAGAAGGTACTAATCTTACTCCCACAAGAAGAAAGTGGTATTGTGATTCCCATTTTCATGGTAACAGAACGATAAGAAGGAAAAGAGATCCAACATCAATGTGCTAATCTGAGTTTAACAGCTAATTTATATGTTAGCCGATACAAACATTTCAATAAATAAATAAAAAAAGAGGGAAATTATAACTTAAATAAGATATAACTAGCAATATCATGATCTGATTTCATAAAAATGTTCTAACTTGTTATAGTGCCGTATTTTCATATCAAGAATATCATTTTGTAACGAGTAACAAATATATTATTCTCAAATGTTCAATCATAGAAACAAGGTTTCAAAAAGCAGTGTTACGTAATGGTTACGGCAATAGGCACTACCCGTTACACCCGCTTTTGCAGTGTGACGGAAATTCACATGTGTAACTATCGTTTTGATGTTACGTAACAGCCGTAGCGGTATCATAACGACCTTTCACACACCGTTATATACATTTACAATATTTTGAACAGCTTCCTTTCAAAAAAACAAAACTTACAAAATATACATTATACACATTCTGCAATATTCAGTAGCTCATAAATAGTTTTTGTTTATGTCTCAATTTGTATTTTTATAATCATTTCATTTAATAATTATAAATATATTTTTTTTAGTTAGTTCAAGTATTGGTTAAAAATAATTTTGTAGACATTTAAAATCAATTATTCTTCAAAAAATAAATAAAAATAAGAGGTACAATATGGATTTATGACATATAAACTCATTAACTATTGAAATAAAATGTAAAAAACTCTTTTATAGTGATTTAAAAAATATGAAATATATTGGATTATACTTAAAAACTAATAAAAATTGATCAAAATCTATTTTAAACCCCAATAAATGTGATTCTGGGGAAAAAAAAATATGCGTATTAGGTAAGTTTTTTTCAAATTGTGTGAAAAATAAAAAAAAAATTCACGGTTCCGGTTACCGCAACCGTTACGTTACGGCTTTTACACTCCGCAATCGCAACTACGCCACCACAACCGTCACGGGGACTGCAACTACTTTTTGAAACCTTGGTTTTAAAGAAAGAAAGAGGCACACCAACCTTGGGAGAAATAGTAGGAAGCATGGCATTACGTTCCCGCACCAAGCTTCCATCCCGCCAAAAAGTCAGATTAGCCCTAGGGAGCAAAAGTCCAGGATCAGTACACTTGCACTTGACATCTGGGCCAAACTTCTCAATCACCTCAAACCTCACCATTCCACCATCCACTAGGAGTTCATCACCCACTTGTACATCTGAAGTCCAGTCAAAATCAAATGAGGTTTAACTTCTATACCAAAATATAAAAAAACAAGCATAAGAACAAACCATTTCATTATAGTTAGTTTTTTCACAACCAGAGTATGACAAAATTATGACCTTCGGCAAAGCCATCATAGTTCACAGTAATAGTCCGTTCTGGGCGAGTTGAATCAAGAGCACGAACACTGAAAGTCCATATCTCACCATCCTGCATAAGAAGAGAAAATCGTTGGAATAAGCTTCATTATTGTGAACTAAGAATTACTCTAATACAGTAAGCTGTGCAGCACATTGAAGAAATCCATATCAATTTTTGGAAATTTGTTTCAATAACTCTCTACAAGCTGTTCAAAAAGGAATGCTATGTTCATTTTAGAAATAATGGCATTGTCAATGAGATTAAGAAACAAGGAAAATAGCTTTTTGAAATATTACTAAACCTTCTTAAATGAAATATAATTAAACCCAACTTTTGTCTTATTAAGTGAAGGATCTTATGAGACAGCTTAGTGAAAAAGATGAAAGAAATAGAAGCAAGCCGAAAATAGGACCTAATAACCATTTAAATTAATGTGAGACAATGCCGGTTCTGTATGTACCATCATCATCCAGAGTATGCATCAACTAGAGTATGACAAAATTACTAGGGTAGATTACATTGACACCCCTTGAGGTTTGTCTTTAATCAAGTACCCCCCCTCACATTCTGGAAATTACATCCCCCTCTAAGATTTAAACTTTGTTTACAATTTAATCCTTCTGTTAGTCAACCGTTACGTCAACTAATGGAAAAAACTAATATAAGAAATTAATTTTTTAAAATGCCTATTTTACCTTTATTTGTCATATCCTTCTTCTCTCTGTAATCTCTCTCTCAAAAACCAAACCAAACCAAACCAAACTGACCACAACCTCTCCACTATCAACCCTCTACCTCCAAACCCATGATCATCCACCTTGCTCTACCTTCACTGCCACCATCACCCACTCCCCATTGAGATCACATAAACTCTACAACAAAATTCATTATTTAATGTTAACACCAAAATATATTTTTTAAAAAATTATTAGATGAGTAAAGAAAATTTACATGGAATTAGAAAAATTCATTCAATACATATATTATTATAGTATTAAACATTTAGGTAATGCTATGGTACACAAACTTTTGTAGTGTTAATTATCACAAATATTGTAATTAGATCATTTTCAGTCATAATTAAAAAAAAATAGTTATAACCAAACACTGCATAAGGTATAACCAAATACTTTTTAAATCATAACCAAAATAACCAAAATAATGTTTTAATAAAAAATTATAACTAACACCATAATATGCCATAACCAAAGACCATTACTGAGGCATATAAAAATTTCTTAAACGGTAAATTATTTGTCAATTTTATATATGCAAACAAGGGTAAAAAATAAACATTTAAAAAAATTAATTTCTTCTATTAATTTCCAAATGTGAGGGGCGTATTTATATTAAAGACAAACCTCAAGAGGTGTCAATGTAATTTACCCAAATTACTATTTTACCTTGTTAATACATAGATTAACCTTGTTTAATAGTAGAAAGAAAATGTATATGCAATATTCATGTTTCGAGCATATTATAGGGTTGCCTTGGTGACGATAGCAACAATTCACTCAACATTTTAATTTATGCATTATTCCATTACAGATAATATAGTATTTTATTGATAGTGATAATAATTAATGAAAATCAAAATATGTAAAATGAGAAATAAAGTAGTGAAAATTAATGTTAAGTTTAATATTTTGGCTTTTAATTTTATCATATTGAAAGAAATTAGCTGATATATATTATATACATTTAAATATATTTAGTAAATATATAAACCGGCTGGGGCCGGGGAAGGGGAAGTAAAACCCATTCCTGCCCCACTTCTTCATCGGGGAGGGGAAAAATGGCCATACCTAAACCTTTAGAATCCATCCAATAATACTAAATTCACTCTACATCATGCGTGAAAAGATGATAATCAAATTTACCATCTTTTGTTACTTGGCTGGGAAGAAGAAAAATTAACAAATTTGCCATCAGGGTGCAATTCAGATAACCATAAACTGCCACAAAAAGCCTTCTACAGCTAACAAATGAAACATGATGAATACGTGTAAACCACTGACGATTTCTCTTCCTAATGTGCAACACGCACCAAGATAATGACCATCATTATGACAGCACTGCAAGACCATTAGAAGGCATATCCTTCATATGCTATCAGAATCTTCCACCAGAACAAACCAAAATTAATCAAAAAAATATCACAAAGTAGCAGGAAGTTTTTTTTTTTTTTTTGCCAAAATAAATACCAAGAATCTAAAACAAATAAAGAAAAAATCAACCTATCATGTGCTCTTAATTTCATTTCAATCCAACATTCAACTGAACAGAACGAATAATTTTGATCAAATTTTAAAACCCAGATTAAGTGAGCTAATTTACATGCTAATAAAATCGATCCATTTCGTTTAGCACCAGTAATTACAATCATGCTTCCCAATAAATCAAATCAAATCAAATTTGAATAATTTTGCTAAAATTTTAAAACCCAGATAAAGTGAGCTACTTTACATGCTAATAAAATCAACCCAATTCGTTTAGCATCAGTAATTACAATCATGCTTCCTCATAAATCAAATTTGAATAATTTTGCTCAAATTTTAAAACCCAGATAAAGTGAGCTACTTTACAAGCAAATAAAATCAACCCATTTCGTTTATCACACCAGTAACTACAATCAAGCTTCCCAAAAAATCAAATTTGAAGAAAAATATATACCTCAGCTTTTGCAGATGGAGCCCCGCAAAGGTCCCCCATGTGAATCTCACTCCCTTCAGTGTCCATCATGATTGCAACAGCATATCCCTTTTCTTCATTCAACCTCCTCACCATCTCAATCACCCTCTTGTGCCAGTCACGTGTCCCGTGACACATGTTGATACGTGCCACATTCATTCCCCCAACAGCCAAAGCCTCCAGCTGCTGGAACCCGCACGTGGCGGGGCCGATGGTGCACACGAGTTTCGTCCGCCTGGTACTTCGAAACCCGTTCTCCTTCATCTCAGTCTCCGTCACCGTATCGACTTCGATCGAGCTCGAACTGAGCTCTGTTACTCCTCCTCCGTTGCCGTTGTCGGAGACGAGGATTGGCGATGGAGGAGATGAATCGAGATCGGAACACGAGGCTGTGATCGATTTACGCGCGGATTTGAAGGGAAATTTGGGATTGAATGCTTGTGCGTAGGGTTTTGAGTAAGATTGCTTTGTAATGGTGGAGTTTGGGGATGAAGAAATGAAGAAATTGAGGGATTGCGACATTGTTGTAGGAGATTTTGTAGAATTTAGGGGTTTCCGCCGATCGAGAAGTGTGTAATCGAGTGTATATAGGTCTGTGTGTGTATGTATATATATATATATAGAGAGAGAGAGAGAGAGAGAGAGAGAGAGAGGAGTTGGAGCTTCGATGGTAGTCGCCAGACAGGGATGGAGAGAAAAAAAGGCTTGATTTTGCTAATTGGGGCAAAAAATGCTAATTATTATTTTTTAATAAAAATCACTGTATTTGGTTTGAATTTTTTGGATTAAATTTTTTGAAAATTAATTTTTTTTGATTTTTGTGTTTTTAGTGAATATTTTTTAAATTTTAAACATTTTTTTACTTTTTTAGATGCACCTTATTTATATGTATCTAAAAAGTAAAAATTTGTGAAAAAATATTTTAAAAAATTAATAAATACATAAAAATATAAAAAATGTACTGAATTTTTGTATTTTTTTATATTTTTGGTATTTAGTGAATTTTTAAAAGATTTTTTTTACAATTTTTTTACTTTTTAAGTGTATTTATGTTAGGTGTGTCTAAAAAGTAAAAAAAATAGTTTAAAATATTAAAAAAATTCAGTAAAAACAAAAAAAATACGAAAAAATAAGAAAGTAGAATTTTCTGAAAAGTGTTTTGGAAAACTGAAAACTAAGCAAGGTGATTATTTTTAAAAAACTATAATTAGCTTATTATTTGAAATTAATCATTACAATAAGAAATTTATTTATTAAAAAACTGGTAGAGAAAATATTTTTATATATTTTTAATTATTAATTTGTAAAAGGCTCATTATCAATTTGTAAAGTATTTCAAAAGAGCCTATCTGACTAGAAAGAAAAATAGTAGAAAGTTAAAATGAAATAAAATAAAAAAGAAAAGAAAATGAAATATATTACAAACATTTGTTTAGAATGAAAATTTTGTAAAAAATATATAAATATTTGAAATTTTAATTATAACTAATCCATTACTTAGACAAATTAAGGGTTTGTTTAGTTCAAATTTTTTGAAAAAAATTTCTAAAATTACTTTCTTTCTCTTGCACATCCATCAATCACTTTTTTTCTCTCATCTCCCCTTCTAAATTACTTTGAATAATATTAGGAATCATGAAAAATATATCATGAAATGTTTCATGAAGATTTTTTTATCCTTTGATTAGTGTGTGGTGTTTTATTATATGTGTAATCTAAGAGTGAAATTTTTTTCATGATTATCTTTATGATATTTTTTTCATGATCTCTAACATTACTCAACTACTTTTTTCTCTCATATATATCTACTTAATTATAACAAAATATCAAATCATCCCAAACTCTCAAATTCTAAAACTATTTTCAAAATATACAATCAAATAAACCAAAAAAATTTCTTAACTCTCTCTCCAAATTTTTTTAAAAAAATTTATCTCAAAATACAAATCCAATACATCCTAAAATTTTGTGATTTTTTTTTCTTCTTTGGGTAAGACATTAAAAACTTCTTTACAACGTTTAATATGGGTTGTAAAAAATAAATAAATTCCTCATGATATCCATTATTTTGATGCTAAATAAACTATAAAAAAAATCTTTTTTTTGGGGGGGGGGGTTGTCTTTTTCTTTATTTCGCTTATCACTACTTTCATCCTAAACAAATTCAATTTGAAAAAGCTTACATGGATTTATGAAAACATCACTTACCAGGTGTTTGGGATGTAAGTTTGGTGTTAAAATAGTTAATGAAGATTAAAAAAATTTGCTTGGTTAGAATTTTTTAAAAACACTTTTCAAAAAATTTTATTTTCTTATTTTTCGTATTTTTTTTGTTTTTACTGATTTTTTTTTTAATTTTTAAACATACCTAATATAAATAAACTTAAAAAGTAAAAAAATTGTGAAAAAGACCTTTTAAAAATTCACTAAACACAAAAAATATAAAAAAATACGAGAATTCAGTATATTTTTTTTATATTTTTATGTATTTATTAATTTTTTAATATTTTTTACAAATGTTTTACTTTTTAGGTACATTTAAGTAAGGTGCATCTAAAAAAGTAAATTTTTTTTAAAATTTTAAAAATATTAACTAAAAACAAAAAACGTGAAAATCAGAAAACTCAATTTTAAAAAAACTTAATCCAAAAAATTCAAACCAAACACACTGATTAAAATATTTAATAAAATAAAATATTATATTTAAATTATAATTATTTTATTTTTTCACTCACAAATATCAAATCAATTATAAAAAAAATCAACTGTTATTCAGGACACAACTTTTTAAACAGCTAAAATAGTAAAAAAAAAAAAAAAAAAAAACTAAAAAATCAACTAGTTAAACTCCCAAACAGTCCTGAATCATAGTCCAGCCCATCATAGAGAATCTTATGGGCCTACAAAAGCCCATTTTTTTCTAGCCCAAAAATTCATAACAGCGTAGTAGCAAATGTACACGTCATCGTGCCACGGTGGAGCCGACAGCATCATCTTCTTCTTCCCCCAATAAACCTCTCCGATCAAACCTCAAATCTCCTCTCCTCTCTCAAATTGGGGTTTTTTTTCACAAAATCATTTCAATCTTTTTCAGAATCGAATCGACGAAGCCACTTGAATCGTCTCTCTCGTCCTTACACATTCAATTCAAGGTTCGATTTTTGTAATTTCCCATCAAAATTCTTCGATTCATTTTTTTTTTTTTTTTAATTTATATTTTTATATTGATTATTGATAGTTACATCTCCGATTCACTCCACGAAGTTTGAATTTGGTCGATCTATGTAAATATATTGTACATATATGCATATATGAATGATCGGAGGTCAAAGGATTCATTTACTTTCTTGTTTTGGTGATTTTAGGGTAAAAAATATGGGTGCATTGATGTCGAAGTTCTGGTTCATGTTGTTTCCTGCAAAAGAGTACAAGATTGTTGTTGTTGGATTGGATAATGCTGGTAAGACGACGACGCTTTACAAATTACATCTAGGAGAGGTTGTCACTACGCATCCTACAGTCGGTAGCAACGTTGAAGAGCTTGTTTACAAGAATATACGATTCGAGGTGCAAATCAATAAGCTTTTATATTATTTTTGTTATTTACCAAAATTTATTACTGTTTGGTTTGATGAATTGTTATTTTGTGGACTTAAGGTTTTGATTGATTAACACTAGCAATTGTTTATGGGCGGTACATATAAATCGCAAGCTTGATGAACTGGATGTGAAGCTTTGATAATTTTGTGATTTGCCTCACCCTTGTTTGTAATTGGTTTGTTGTTATGGATTATGGATATTAGTGTAGGTGAGTCTCAATGTTTTCTTAGTGAGTGCTAATGGTTTCTTTTTTACTTGTTTTCTTGATTTTTGATTAAATTTTCTGGCTTTGTGAAATGTGGTGGTTATTTATTTTTTAACGGCTTGTTTTATTGATGTCTTTCAATGGTTGAACATATGGTTAGATGTTGGTTTTCATGCTTATGTGTTTACCATTCTTTTCCTTCTTAAATCATTTAATGCAGAAATTTGGCTCACTTACATAGTTAGGCAATGGTACCTTGCTTTATTTTCTTCTTTTCTTCGTTTGTGATTTTATAGATAATATGAATACCAATGGTTTAGGTTTTTAATCATTGTATGCTTTTCATGCTGTTTAATGGAAGTTATCTTCATAAAAAGAAATCATTGATACAAAAATTATGTATGTGTGCATGGAGAAAAATAGTTCCTGCATGGCATTTATTGTTAGCATGTTATTGACATTGTCCTTGTAGACTAGAACTGTCTAATGACTGGTGAAAAGAAGTATGTGTTTGGTTGTAAGTGTTTGCATTTGAATCAATTGGAAGTTTGTCATAAACAAGTTGTTGGATCATGTGGGGATTCATGAGTGCCATTGACTCTTCAGATGAAGTAGAGTGAGCATACATTCGTGCAAGTTGTATGATCGAGACGTGGTAATGAAGTTTGTGACTTGGCAAATATTGAAGTAATAGATGCCACAAAATTCTTCATAATTTCCTGCCATTTAAAATAGATACCTAAATAAATGTGGATTGGGTCAACTCCAATTCTAGTGTTTTCCTTAGAACCAAACTTGACCTGAAGTATTTACTAATGTAAAATTCCAATTATAGGTGAGATGGGTATTTGGAATGGGAGTGGCGGAGGAGGGAGGAGAGGGTTGGGGATGGGGAAGTGAGGATGGAGGGGCAAGGAGGGATTACAGGTGGGGAAGGGAGGGGTTATAGGCGGGGAAGTGGAGGTGAAGAGGACAATGGCATTTTTTTTGAGCTTGTAGAATCATCAGGGTTTCTTTGTGTAAAAAAAAAAAAAAAAAAAAAAAAAAAAAAAAAAAAAAAAACTAAGGCTTTGTTTGGCATGTGCTATTTTAGCACATTATCCTATTTGGGTCACATTACCTCTCTATCACATCACATCAAACCCAATTCATATTTTACGTTTTTTCGTAAAAAGTCAAAAAGTATACTAATCTAGCGCTTCCCAAACAACCCTCTACAAAAGCACGCATGAGTTAATACCTGTAGTTAATTTAGATGGACATGATGGAGTTGTGTTTTAATCCACAAAAAGTTATGTGGTTATTTCCTAATGTTGTTAGGGGATGATCCATGTATCGTCACCATTGTCGATACCGAAAGGGATAGCTGAACTTTGACTCACACAATATTAACTTGTACGCTTGTTGCATTTTTTATGGATGATCTTATTATTGTACATATACTTGAGGGGTTTACATGAGTTCCCATGGTGTGTGGTTCAAAGGGAAAATTATGTCAAGGTTGATTGTATTGAAAATGAGGATGTTGAGATGGATGATTTGCAATCCAAGAAAGAGAGTGTGGCAATTAGTTCAGCTTTGAGAAGTTAAGAGGTAGCATCATTGAATGAGGATGAGATGATAGGATGTGCTTGATAGAGTCCTGAATCATGTAGTGGCATTAATATGGAGCAATATCTTGCAGAGCATGTTGCAAGATATGAAACATGTCTATATTCTTTTTGTGCTTTTGCATCGTTTGTGTTTATACATGAAGAGATTAAAACAATATGCCAGATTGTCAATCCAGCCATTCTGTAGACAATTTGAAATGTAAGCATTAGCAACACATTCATTATGAAAGAAAAGAATATATGTAGAGTTGGTCAACAGATTACCTATATGAATGTTCCTTGAGGGCAGATTACCTATATGCCAGATTGTCATTATGCCAAATTACCTATATGAATGTTCAACATCTCTTTGAGGAAAAAAGGCAGATATTTGATCAAGTTTACCAATTGAAGCTGCCCTCAAGGTAGACACACCTTCAATATCTGGAAATATTTAACTGTTTGATTGTTGGTTGGATAAATTTGGTACTTGTCATTTGGCTTTGTGGTTTCATTCTGTGTTAATTAACTAATCAAAACTTGAATTGCTGCCTTGATATCACTGCTTTAAGAAATTTTTAATAGGGGTTGCTGGTTATCTCATTTGCATCAGCCATGCTGTTTAATACTGAAGCTCAGATGAACTCTTTTGGGGATTTAGTTTACTTTGGCTATATCAATGGTTTTTGATATCTTTCATGCACACACACGTGCACATACTAGCTGAAAAATTCTCACAAGCATGGGATGATAAGATACCATGTGATTTGGTGTAAAGTGTAAAATGTAACAAATTTAACAACTGTAAGACAATGACAAATACTCTTTTTTCTTTCCAATCCATCCCTCAAAAACTGCCACCAGCCACAGTCATCATAGTTGCCCACACACCGCCACATTACATTTCTGTCATATACCATTTCATTCTCTCTTTCTCTACCCCTGTTGCCACCATAGCCACAACCCTCCACATTGTAGCCACCATAGCCACTACCCATCATTACCCCCAAGTAATAGTTATCTCCACCATCATCACTCTATATAGTCTATAAAACCCCATATATCGATCCCTAAATATTCTATAAAAAATAATTTAAGAAACAACAAAAATAAGATGATGTAAAAGGTCATGCATCTTTACATTGAATTGAAACTAACAAAAAATTCTCTAAAAATTCCTTCCCTTTGCAATGGGCTGTTGCTAAAAAGGGAAAGGGTTTGTCTTTGCGATTGTCTGAAATTGGTTTGTGAGATATTATATATATTTTATATATGTTGATGTATATGACCTTATACATGGAAAACTGAGAGGGGCTGGTGTCATGTGCGGTGGCCTATTGTGGGGTGGTGCTGGTAGGTGATAATGCTGTCATAATGCATGGTTTACAAGTTTAAATAAGCTATTGTATATTTGTATCATTGTCTGTGTATGTGAATATAGATAAACATGTTGTTTTGGGTATTCAAAAGGGGTTGTGCACTTGCGGGAAACTCTTTGCTGAGGGCCTATGCATCCTTGGGGATTAGTCAGGCTTTGATTTGGACACCCCAGTGCCAATCAAGGAAAAAAAAGGGGGGAGGGGGGTGAAATGGGCTTTCTTGTGGCAAGTAAGAGGGTTGTTCCAATGCATGACACCCACGTTGCAATGGAGTAACCATACCAAGGTGCCAAGGCCCCACCCTCCTACCTTTGGTTAGTAAATTGTTAAACACCAAGAAAGAACAGTGAGGCCATGTGTGCTGTTGGGTGGAGCTGGTTGAGGAAGAAACTACATGAATAGGAAGGATAATACAAGGTTGAAAAAGGGTGAAACCAAAGTTGAGAGCATAAATGCCATTTTTAGTGTTTTAAAGTGGTTGTAAGAAATATTGATAGAGAGAGAAAGAGAATAAATTGCATTATTGATTGATATATTGAATGTTACAATGATTCCTATATATAGAAGAGTAGGTGGTAGTAGGTGGTAAATGGAGTAGGTAAAGTGGAGGTGGTAGTGGTGTAGTGGGTTAGGTTTAGTGGAGTAGGTGAGGTGGTAGTGGTGTAGTGGGTTAGGTTTAGTGGGTGTAAAAGGTGATAGGTTTTTAACAGCCCCCCGCAAACTCAAGGGGGATAGGAAATAGCCAACTTGAGTTTGGAGAGAGTAACAAAACAAGAAAATAGACGAATACATAAAAGAAAAGAGGATAGGAGACACTGTATGGTCGTGTCAGACCGATGGTGAAGACACTGTATGGTGGTGTCATAACGTTGTAGAGGACACTGGATGGTTGTGTCAGACCGATGTAGAAGACAGTTTATGGGGTCATGTCGGACCGTTGTAGAAACTAACCGGAATCTATGTCGGGACAGTTTACAGAGTCTTGTCGGACCCATAAAGGAGCTAACCGGAATCAATGTCGGGACAGTTTACAGAGTCTTGTCGGACCCATGTAGAAAATATATATCGAGCCCGCAAAAGTCGCGCCCTCAAAAGGCGCGCCCACTTTATCAAAAGATGTGCCCGACAGAAATCATCGAGCGGCGAGCCATCAAAAGGCGCGCCAGACACGCGGCGATGCACGTGACAGACAGAACGCGTGTCGGCCTCTTCGTCAGGGTCTTTATAAACCGAAGCGGAGGCTGAGGCTTGGAAGCATAACAAACCAGTTGAAACCTCTGCATTCTCAGAGAGCTTGTCTCGAAGAGCTGCAAATCTTGAAACACTCTGTAACCAACCCTGTCTGATAGTACCAATCGGTAATCGCTGCTTCTCTGAAACACTTAGCAACCCAAAAACATGGCCTCTTCTTCCCGTCCAGCTACCCAGAACAGCCTCGGAGGACAACAATCCTAAACGCTACTCAGCGTAAAAGGATAAACGATAAACGATAACACAATATGCAAATAAATTGAAATCTTTTGTAACAATATAATACAAGTAACGATAAGAAGTTAATTATTCACAATTAAATAGTTAGTCATAATATAGATGTTTAGTGTTACATTTTTGTGTGTATGCACCATTTTTTAATTAAATTATTAGATTCACATAAAAATTGAAAGGAATTTGTAAATAATGTGTAAAATTAAAGATTAGTGAAGAAAAATTTGAAAAAAGAGAAGTTTATTGTAAGAAATATTGATAGAGAGAGAAAGAGAATAAATTGTATTATTGATTGATATATTGAATGTTACAATGATTCCTATATATAGAAGAGTAGGTGGTAGTAGGTGGTAAATGGAGTAGGTAAAGTGGAGGTGGTAGTGGTGTAGTGGGTTAGGTTTAGTGGAGTAGGTGAGGTGGTAGTGGTGTAGTGGGTTAGGTTTAGTGGAGTAGGTGAGGTGGTAGTGGTGTAGTGGGTTAGGTTTAGTGGAGTAGGTGAGGTGGTAGTGGTGTAGTGGGTTAGGTTTAGTGGAGTAGGTGAGGTGGTAGTGGTGTAGTGGGTTAGGTTTAGTGGAGTAGGTGAGGTGGTAGTGGTGTAGTGGGTTAGGTTTAGTGGAGTAGGTGAGGTGGTAGTGGTGTAGTGGGTTAGGTTTAGTGGAGTAGGTGAGGTGGTAGTGGTGTAGTGGGTTAGGTTTAGTGGAGTAGGTGAGGTGGTAGTGGTGTAGTGGGTTAGGTTTAGTGGAGTAGGTGAGGTGGTAGTGGTGTAGTGGGTTAGGTTTAGTGGAGTAGGTGAGGTGGTAGTGGTGTAGTGGGTTAGGTTTAGTGGAGTAGGTGAGGTGGTAGTGGTGTAGTGGGTTAGGTTTAGTGGAGTAGGTGAGGTGGTAGTGGTGTAGTGGGTTAGGTTTAGTGGAGTAGGTGAGGTGGTAGTGGTGTAGTGGGTTAGGTTTAGTGGAGTAGGTGAGGTGGTAGTGGTGTAGTGGGTTAGGTTTAGTGGAGTAGGTGAGGTGGTAGTGGTGTAGTGGGTTAGGTTTAGTGGAGTAGGTGAGGTGGTAGTGGTGTAGTGGGTTAGGTTTAGTGGAGTAGGTGAGGTGGTAGTGGTGTAGTGGGTTAGGTTTAGTGGAGTAGGTGAGGTGGTAGTGGTGTAGTGGGTTAGGTTTAGTGGAGTAGGTGAGGTGGTAGTGGTGTAGTGGGTTAGGTTTAGTGGAGTAGGTGAGGTGGTAGTGGTGTAGTGGGTTAGGTTTAGTGGAGTAGGTGAGGTGGTAGTGGTGTAGTGGGTTAGGTTTAGTGGAGTAGGTGAGGTGGTAGTGGTGTAGTGGGTTAGGTTTAGTGGGTGTAAAAGGTGATAGGTTTTTAACAGTGGTGTGCACGAGCAGTTATTTGGCAGAAAATTTGAATGAGGGTGCATGAGACATACATCATAGGAAATTTTCTCCTTGTATGGCTTGAAAAAAAATGAATCGAAGTTCTATTAGAGTTACTTGGGGAAATTTTAACAGTTTCATTGAACCTTAGGGGACATTAGTGTAATCGTGTCACAGCTTAAAGTGCAGGGGACCTTTGTGTTTTTTGGCCTAACTACGTGTATTTAAGAAAAGGTCGACCTAGTGCACGAGGCTTCTGCTAAGATGGGTTCTAGGAAGGGCAAGTTGTACATAGCCTTACCCACCAGGGCAACATCAACTGGTGAAAGAGAAATGTGACTATAGACCAAAAGTTCTAGATCAGAAACTCAAACTAAACCTCCTGCAAAAGTATAACCTGCTCTTAACAGAGAACTCATAGCCACATATAGGGACTTCTATTACAGAATTTGAGTTGTAGTAAGCAAAATAGATATTCAACTCTTCAGAAGTCTTGTTAAGTTGTTCCAGGATAAAGCATAACTTCCAATTGTCAAGGCTGTTCTGAAGCATTTCTTCATGCAATTTTGGATTACCCAGTGGAGTTCTGTCCCATTGCCGAGGAGCTCCGTTTGCTTCATTCCGGAATAATATTTCTTCCATATCACAGCTGAAAATGGAGAATTTGAAGAACAAGTAATGATGGCTCTCATCTAGCTGGTTACAGAGAACAAAAACAGGATCCACTCATGCAAGCAATCTATCTTTTGTGGTGAATTTTCCATGACAAATCAACCAGAGGATGAATGCGCATTTGGGATTATTCTCAGGAAACTAGACAGAACCGTACCATGGGATTGTGCTCTGCTATTTTGTGATAGCCTCCCAAGCAGTTTTAGTTGTGTTAACTCAATTAGAAGCTGGAGTCCAAGTTACTTCATCATTTCCCAACACTATAGGCTTAAGGGAAGCAGGAGTATTTTCCTTCTTGTCTTGAATAACTCTACTTCTCCCCCTCTAGGCCACCTCCAATCTCCTGGAACACTAAATATCAGATTTTTTTTCCTGTTAAGGATCTAAAGTTGAATACCACTCAATCCCCATAGCTTAGTAAAGGGCCCAAGGGGTGCCGATTATTAATCCAAAGGAAAGTATTATTCCCGTCCCTTATATTGTACTTCAATGGCTGTCCAATTTGTGGTGCCGATTATTAATCTAAAGGAAAGTATTATTCCCGTCCCTTATATTGTACTTGATCAATGGCTGTCCAATTTGTCGAAGCTTGAACTATTTTCTCATTGTCCATGATGAGTTAGCAGGAAGGGGCATCCCCCATAAGCTATTCTGTTTGATATTAGTTGCAACTTAATTTTGTGAGTTGAAATTAATGGAAATGGAAGTAAAATTGTAGAAGTAACTGAGCTTTTTGCTATTTATGGTGTCCTATCTTTGATTTATTTGTGGCAGTATGAGATACATAATGTTCGTATTTATTTTCCTTTTGCTGATTTACTCTGGGAGAAGGGGGAATTCATGGTGTTCATATTGTGGTTTCTTATATTACCTTATTAGCTGAAATGCGGGTTACGTTTTCATGCATCAATGATGACACAAGATCTTACAATTAAGTTCTATAAAGAAGTTGACCTTGAGAGTTGTGCATCTTGGTTTGGTTTCTGAATTCCTGTCCCTCTTTACTATCTTCTTGATGTTCCGTAATTGATTTAATCTGTTTGTTACTGTTGTTTTATCAGGTTTGGGATCTTGGAGGACAAGACAGACTTAGGACATCGTGGGCAACATATTACCGGGGAACTCATGCGGTGATTGTAGTGATAGACAGCACAGATAGAGCCAGGATTGGTATTATGAAGGATGAACTCTTCCGCCTACTCCCACACGACGATCTTCAAAATTCTGTCGTACTCGTCTTTGCAAACAAACAAGACCTGAAGGATGCCATGACTCCGGCTGAGATAACCGATGCCCTTTCCCTTCACAGCATTAAGAACCATGATTGGCACATTCAAGCCTGCTGTGCCCTCACAGGAGATGGGCTGTATGATGGTTTGGGGTGGATTGCACAGCATGTCACCGGAAAAGCACCAAGCTAGAAAATGTAAGCACTAAGGCTGTGTTTGGGTCTTGAATTTGTACAGGATTTGTGTTTCTCTTTTTTTTCTTTTTGTTTTTTTCTTTCCACAAATCTAAGATCCAAACACAACCTGAAAGTATTTTCATCTGCGTTCTTTTCATGGAATTGAAGGATTGAAGATAGATGCTTCTTGTGTACCCATTTAACTGTATGAGCTGTGTCCATGTGATTTAGTAATTGATACTTCATTTTGATTTGCCTTTCATGAAAGAATATTGTTTTCTTTTGCATTGTTTTTCATTAACAATTTATGTACGATGAAAACTAAATTAAACTATGAAAATTGAACATTTTTTTCACCTACGAGAAATCAAGCCTCCATTTCAGACTGGGAGAGCATTGTGTCCATGTGATTTAACATTTTTTTTGGCCGCCAGCTGAGAACTAAAATCTCCTTTTCGAAGTATAGCTCTTGTGCTTTGTGCTTTGTGTTTGTGGGTTGAAATTTGAATTTTGAAGAATTGTAATTGTAAGCTAGTGTGGTTTACACGGTTAAAAATGCTAGACTCTAAATTTTCTACTGAATTTTTTTACAATAATATTCGCGTGTGTGTCTCACATGACTCAACAGAAAATTTTTTATTCATGACATTGCTCGTACTCATTGAATGTCAATATATGAACTGAATAGTTAAAAATAGGGTTAATTACACTTTTCAACCTTATAATTTGATTTAAATTTTTATTTTAGTCCTTATAATTTCAAATTAAATAATTTAGTCTGTATACTTGAAATCTAATTTCAATTTAGTCATTCTGTTCAAATTTAAAGTTAAAATTAGCAATTTAATTATATGTACTAAAGTAAAATTTGAATTCAATTACATGTTTGAAAATATAAATAATTCTAAATGCGGAGACTAGACGTACCTAGGAGATTGGTCAGAATCTTTTTGGAAGCGAAAAATATAAAGCATAGAGGTAACAAATTCTAAACCTTTCAATTTTGAGCAAATAATTAAACTTTGTAACTTCACTCCCAACTTGAAACTTCAAATTTAGCAAATTCGGAATGGGGGAAATCTCAAATCAGTTTGACAATAGTAAAATAATTTCATTTTCATAAGAGGTGCAAATCTATTCTATATGAGGTGCAAGTCATATTATGTGTGAGATGCTCCGTGTTTTTAGTGCACCTAAAAACTTTCCATGCATAGTGTAATTATTTTGAGACTGTCTCACTAAAAAGTTATTTCTGCATTCGGATTCAACTTAAAAAGCTGCTTTCTATCAATCTGTTACGTGGGACGGCAATCAACTCTTACCATCTTCAATCAGCGGAACCACAAACAAACTTTTTCACTTTCCATAATCAACACAAACCAATCACAAAATTCGACACAACTTTCTCATGAAAGTATGAGACTCACAAAAACAAAATCCACCTCGTGAACAACTGTTTCATAATTCTGTAATGTGGGTGTGCTTATGACTTATTCACCAAAAAAAGAAAAGAAAAAGTGGGTATGCCAAGATTTCCTAGTCCTTCCACAAAACCTCACATCAGATAAACAAAGCTGTTTTTCCGTTTGTCTGATAAAAAAAAGTTTCTTACTTTAATTTGTACGAAAAATATAACAATATAAAAAAATCCATCTTCTGTACAAAGGAGCACCACATCTGTAATGCAACAGTCAACAACAACTACAAATAATAAGGGCATTGCTTGCAAATTTGAACATGTCTTTCATTATCAATTCCTAAAAGGTGAGGGGGGGCAAAAAAACCTAGAAGTTTCTGCACGAAGGAGCATCATTTCATTTGACCTTTGCCAAGATCAAGGTATTTCTCTCTAATAAAAACTGTAACATGTTTGTAAGCTACCAATACTTGTTGCCTCTAACAAATGCTAACGAAAGTCGAATCTCACAATTGAACATCTGTCACAGTATCCAGCATCTGCAACCCTCCGAATCTTGGGGTCCTTCAAACCACCGATCCCAGGAAGGGTTTGTTGGGCCAGTTGTTCTGAAAAATCAAACCAAGAAAACATTTTCAGACACTACCGAGGTTGAATAGGGATAAATTTAGCAAAACAAATATTGCGGTAGAAAAGAGAAATTACACTGGAAGTAATGGGTCTGGTTTTGTATCCACAATAATCAGCATTCTGGTGGCACAAAGTAAGACACAATAAGCAAATTGATAATGGTTCTATTAGTATTGAGTTACACATCATTTGAGTACTCAAAAATACTGTTTTGTACTTACTCCTTGCACGCAGCCGAGGCCTTCTCAATTTTTTCAAGTTGTTCCAGCTCTTCCTGTATCAAGGGTTTTGTTAAAGAAAATGTTATCTGAAAATACTACTCAAATTTGAACCGTGTAACAGAAAAATCCATGTCATTGTTGCATCCCATCTAAAACTCCATTACATGGTTACAATGATATGAATGCTTTCTGATGCAGCACTTGACTCCAGGATGAACTTTTTCCAAGAAAAAAAAAAAACTTACAGGTTATTTCAAAACTAGAGTATACTCCCAAGATGTGAAACTAAGATTTCCCATTGAAGTCAATTTAAAAAGATAACTACCCAAATCTGTTCTTTCATTCAAGCAATACAAATGGAGGAGTAATTATACCTAGCAATTGATTTAGAGGTTTATAAAAAAGAAGCTGAAAACATAGCAGGAAATTCAAAGCTCTAGGCTGATAAATTTCACAAAACTTTTCTACTGACATACTACAAAACTTGGTCACCAGGCTCTTTTCTCCCTTGTTTTGCTGGGGGCTTTATTTATTATGAGAGAGAGCTATCTGGAAATCAAATAACACAGAATAGCTTTAAAAGGAAAACTGAGCACTTCCTATGACAAATATCACCAACTAAAACATATTGGAAACATGCTTCTGAGTATTTCTTAATATTTAGGCCATTAATTTTCCTAATCTGTACCTACATAATTTTTGTGGACCAACCAGTCTGAATAAACTGAGATGTGAGACAAACCAAAATGAATGCATACTTGCCAAGACAAGTTTGATACACAATTCATCATTCCCCATGTCAGGCTTCCTCTCAAATCCAAGTCCTCCGTTCCATTCAGTGGACTGCATCCATCTGAAAGACATAACATAGTCTCTTAATACTACTCATTCAATTCCAAACCTCATATTACAGTTTGGGCCTACTTTTTGTTGACATATATGTTGCCAGCACAGTTTACACCATCTCCAAATAAGTAATTATGAGTAGACAAACTATCAACATGGTAACATATGCTGATGTAGGGACCAATGCTGATTATAGTCTTACATATATCTCTACATATGCCAAAAGAGCTATTGATTGGCACAATACTAAAAACTCGGGAAAACAAAGCTTGAAGATGAGGACTTGAGCCAGATTGCAATCACTTTATGCACATAGAGTTAGGGTCACAGCATAAGCTTCCACCATCTTCGGGAGGGGTTAAAAGTTCACTGCTATCATAATCCACTGATCTAGCACAAATCCAGACACTTTGGATTAACCATACAGCTGCATTGGTGACATTTTGTCCAGATTAAACCTTTGTACCTAGCCTCCATTCGAATTTATGGAAGCCATTTTTTTTATTGCTTTCTTATATGATTATTGGTCCCTTTCTTAGTTTATACAGGTAGTTAAATCTGTAACTTCTTGGCTTTGATTAGTCCTAAAATTTCCATCAGAGATTCATACCATTTTTAGGTAGTTAAACCTTATGTAGTAACCATTTTTAGCAAAACACAAACCAAGTTCCCTGTCCTAGCTAGTTTTAATAGACTATATTTCGTCACATGAAAATACTGAATAACATACTTGCATCTAATCCCTGTTACCTTTTCAAGTACTTTTTTCTTTATATTTTTGTTTGTTTGCTGTTGTTGTAATTTAACCTTTTATTGCTAAATGTTTTTATATTTTCCTTGAATCAAATGAAATGAAATCCCATATATACCTAATCATGAATACCATCCCATGTAAATTCGTTCATGCAAATCTAATTATAAATAATAAAATCTAAAAAAGAGAACAAAGAGGCATCAACTGTTCTGTGGCAAAATCAGTAGAAGTGTGTTGTTTCTTACTTGGCAATGCACATATATGTTCCAATAAATTTTAAAGAAAAACAGTGCACTAATGTGCAAGTGAATCTATTTCAATAAATGACATTGTTACGAATGAATTCGAAAGTCAAGGTTGGCGACTTATCTTACCATAAATGCATATACATAACACTTGGATGGTGGCCCCATAAAAAAAATAATAATTAAAAAAAAAAGAACAGAAAAGAAAAGAAAGGAAACATTTTAAACTTTTGTTTTGGATATAAATGGTAAGCTTGTCTTTAAAGACAGGAAATATACCGCAACACATGCCAATAGAAAATAAACTGAGAAAATCATTGGTAACAGTAAGCATGGAAACTTGAAACAAAAGTCATTTCAACTAGAAGTTTCTTAATTGAGAACAAAAAGAGAAAAGGGCATAACTAAGTCCCAGCTGCAGCCACTACATATCTGCAAGTAACGCATGAACTGAAGTCCAAGTTTTTATTTGTGCAGTGCAGATGGTAGCTAGTGTCTTCTCTTATCTGTATTTTGTCTGCTATTTTGACTTCTTCCTAATTGCAGCACACATCGTGTAGTGGATTTTAACTTTTTCTTCATATATTGTTTATTTTCATTGGAAAATAATACAAAACCATAACATAAATCCGACCTAGTTCACTGTCGGAGAAATGCAATGGCAACTTTAATTCAAGCAATACAAATGGAGGAGTAATTATAACTAGCAATTGATTTTAGAGGTTTATAAAAAAGAAGCTGAAAACATGGAAGCTATATAAAAAAGTTCCATAACTTCAATTTTCATGAGTTACCGATGCAGATTTTCGGAACTGTATTTCAACACTCAAACTATGGTTGGTGTCCCTTGGAAACTTTTTGTAATGATTGTTATTAAAGATGATAGGCGTACCAAGGCGCCAAGGTCTCCTGGGGCCTAGGCTCAAGGCGCAAGGTGTGGCGCAAGCTTCACTGAAGTGAGGCGCACCTTGTACGGAAAAAAAAAAAATAAAAAAAAATAATATAATTAAATAATTTATGGTACAACATAAACAAAATGAAATGTTAAATAGTGCTTTTTGGAGATTAGGAATTAGGGCTAATTTTTCTTCTATCATTGATTTGGGGTTGAATGCCCAACGTATTGGCATCTGTTAGGGCTGTGTAGCGGATCCAATGACCCGCCACCTCGACCCGACAAGCAACGGATGGATGCGTGCCACGTGGCGGGCGGGTGCAGGCCTAGTTTATGGCATTTTTTCGGGTTCGGGTGGCGGGTAATCCGCCATTTTAGTCAATCGACCCGTCCCGACCAATCATTGGTTATTTATTTATTTATTTTTGGCTGATATGCCTCATTTTGCCCTAATTTTCGACAGATAGACAGACATTCTCTCTCTCTCTCTCTCTCTCTCTCTCTCTACCCTACCCATCGTCGGACGATCTACACGGCGTCGGCGATCGATCTACACGGCATCGGCGATCGATCTACACTACTGACTGAGGTATATCTCTCTCTCTCTCTGCTTTCCTCTTCTTTTCTTTTCTTCTCTTCTTCTGAGTCTAATTTGTGTTTTTTTTTTTTTTTTTGTTCCAGTTCTAAAACGAAAGAGATGGTTAGATTGATCGATCTACTACACTGACTGTAATGTAACTGAGGTACCTCTCTCTCTCTCTCTCTCTCTCTCTCTCTCATTCTTCTTCTTCTTCTTCTTCTCTTCTTCTGAGTCTTGGTTGGTTTTTTTTTGGTTCCAGTTCTAAACTTGAAGTTCTAAACAAAATAAATTATGAGTAGGTTTTGTGAATAATTTTATAAATTAGGCATATCAATAGGTTTTGTGAATTATTTTCTAAACGAAATAAATTATGAGTAGGTTTTGTTAATGGATAAATTATGAGTACAAAATCACAAAACCTGGTTCCAGTTCTAATCTTTTAGAGTCTAATCTATTATTATTATTTTAAATAGTGCTTTTTGGAGATTAGGAATTAGGGCTAATTTTTCTTCTATCATTGATTTGGGGTTGAATGCCCAACGTATTGGCATCTGTTAGGGCTGTGTAGCGGATCCAATGACCCGCCACCTCGACCCGACAAGCAACGGATGGATGCGTGCCACGTGGCGGGCGGGTGCATGCCTAGTTTATGACATTTTTTCGGGTTCGGGTAGCGGGTAATCCGCCATTTTAGTCAATCGACCCGTCCCGACCAATCATTGGTTATTTATTTATTTATTTTTGGCTGATATGCCTCATTTTGCCCCCCTTTTCCTTTCTGATATGCCTCCTCTGCTCATTTTGCCCTAATTTTTGACAGACAGACATTCTCTCTCTCTCTCTACCCTACCTATCGTCGGACGATCTACACGGCATTGGCGATCGATCTACACTACTGACTGAGGTATATCTCTCTCTCTCTCTCTCTGCTTTCCTCTTCTTCTCATCTTCTTCTGCTTTCCTCTTCTTTTCTTTTCTTCTCTTCTTCTGAGTCTAATTTGTGTTTTTTTTTTTTTTTTTTCCAGTTCTAAAATGAAAGAGATGGTTGGATTGATCGATCTACTACACTGACTGTAATGTAACTGAGGTACCTCTCTCTCTCTCTCTCTCCTTCTTCTCCTCCTCTTCTTCTGAGTCTTAGTTGGTTTTTTTTTGGTTCCAGTTCTAAACTTGAAGTTCTAAACAAAATAAATTATGAGTAGGTTTTGTGAATAATTTTATAAATTAGGCATATCAATAGGTTTTGTGAATAATTTTCTAAACAAAATAGATTATGAGTAGGTTTTGTTAATGGATAAATTATGAGTACAAAATTACAAAACCTGGTTCCAGTTCTAATCTTTTAGAGTCTAATCTATTATTATTATTATTTTGTTTTGTTCCAATTCTAAAACTAGAGACGTGGTTAGATTGATTGACACAGTGTTAACTGTTAAGGGTTCTCCACACAGAGAAAGGAATACAGAGAGAAAACCACAGAGAGGTTTGATTTATTTTTCTTGTTATATGCTTCTGCAGTGGATTTTGTGAGGGACTTCATAGAATCTGTTTTGATTCCGAATCTGTTTTAATCTGTTCACAATCTGGAATTAATCTGTTCTATTTTGAACAATCTGTTTGGTTATCAGATAACAAATTATGATTCACAATTATGAAGTTCAAATTATGATTCACAATATATAACAAGAAAACAGAACAGATAACAATCTATTTTGATTCATTTTGCCCTAATT